GTGGGGTGGGGGTTGGGTGGGAGAGAGATTAAGAAAGGCAATGAGCACATGTCGATTTGGGGTCTTTGCAAAAACCAAGAAGGGATCACAGGTATCGGGAATGCAACAAACGCACAAACACTGTGATATAGATGACAACACATGTTAAGTAAGAATCATATTACATTGTAAAACTTGGCAATATTACAGGCCCATCATATTGCATTGACAAGGTTGTTATGGGCTGAGCCTCTGGGCAATACTTTTAAATTCACTTGTAATAAATGTAATATTTTAAAGAGATGAACTGGGCTCCATTTTTACATTTCGAATTGATTTTTACATTTCAAAAGTAAAGAGTTAAACCCTTTTGGAATCATCCCGGAAGCTTACAACTTCCTCAAAGAACTATAAGTGCAACATTGGTTCTTCTTGCTAAGACAAAATCTTTACTAATCGGATCAACACTTAGAGTTCTAGATGTAATGGATCGAGTAGTCTCTCCAAATATACTCAATTTTTACATTTTAAATTGATTATTACATTTTAAAATAATTATCACCTTTAATGTAAAAAGTTAAACCATTTTGAAATCACCCTAGAGACTTATAACTTCCTAAAAGAACTATCGGTGCAACATTTATAAATTCTTACTAAGACAAAGTCTTTACTGATCAGATCCAAACTTAGAGTTCTTGACATGACGAATCAAGTGGTCTCTCCAAGAATACTGTTAAAATTGCTACTGTGCTACCGTGCTGCTCAACCTGAGCCTTCTGTTGCGTAAACAAGCAGCAGTCAGGTTAGAACGGATAAAAATAAGTACTTCTTCACCCAAAGAGTGATTAACACTTGGAATTCACTGCCACAGGTGGTGGCGGCGGCTACAAGCATGGACGGCTTCAAGAGGGAATTGGATAAGCATATGGAGCAGAGGTCCATCGGTGGCTATTAGCCACAAGGTATAGATAGGAACTCTCAGTCTGGGCCAAGGGATGCTCTGTATTCTTGGTGCCTGGGGGGCAACAGTGGGAGGGTTTCTAGTGTCCTGGCCCCACTGCTGGACCTCCTGATGGCACCTGGTATTTTTGGCCACTGTGTGACACAGAGTGTTGGACTGGATGGGCCTTTGGCCTGATCCAACATTGGCGAAGGTGGCGGTGGCTACAAGCATGGATGGCTTCAAGAGGGAATTGGATAAGCATATGGAGCAGAGATCCATCAGTGGCTATTAGCTACAAGATATAGACAGGAACTCTCAGGCTGGGGCAAGGGATGCTCTGTATTCTTGGTGCTTGGGGGGGGGCAACAGTGGGAGGGCTTCTAGTGTCCTGGCCCCACTGCTGGCCCTCCTGATGGCACCTGGTCTTTTTGGCCACTGTGTGACAGAGTGTTGGACTGGATGGGCCTTTGGCCTGATCCAACATTGGCGTCTCTTATGTTCTTATGTCTGGGGCAGGTGATGCTCTGTATTCTTGGTGCTTGGGGGGGGGCAACAGTGGGAGGGCTTCTAGTGTCCTGGCCCCACTGCTGGCCCTCCTGATGGCACCTGGTCTTTTTGGCCACTGTGTGACAGAGTGTTGGACTGGATGGGCCTTTGGCCTGATCCAACATTGGCGTCTCTTATGTTCTTATGTCTGGGGCAGGTGATGCTCTGTATTCTTGGTGCTTGGGGGGGGGCAACAGTGGGAGGGCTTCTAGTGTCCTGGCCCCACTGCTGGCCCTCCTGATGGCACCTGGTCTTTTTGGCCACTGTGTGACACAGAGTGTTGGACGGGATGAGCCATTGGCCTGATCCAACGTTGGCTTCTCTTATGTTCTTATGCTCTTTCTTAAGCAGTGGAGGCCAGGGGCACCTTTCATTAGCTTCTGCAACTGCAGCTCTTCCTGGGCAAGAAAGACTTTGCCAGTGTGCCCTGGAAACGTCTAGATTAGACTGCTGCAATGCACTCTACAAGGGGCAGCCCTTGAAGTGTTTCCAGAAGGTATAATTTGTACAGAATTCTGCAACCAGAATGTGGCCTGGAGTGTGTGACAGGGATAGAATGTAATGGATCTGGGGTAGCCACAGAAGGAGCACTTGATGCCCAATCCCCTTCAAATAGTTCCTAACAATCCATACAATCACCTAAAGAAAATGGAACGAAGGCGTCTGGGCAGATGAAATTCCCGTCTTCGTCAAGGAAGTGGTTTGGGTTGAATTGTCGAGGGGTGTCCCATTCCTTCGGATCGTACAAGCAAGAAGCCATGTTTGGAAACACTACAGTTCCCTGTGAGGAAAAAGCCAAGAATTCAGTTCTTTCTCTATGTTTTACTCGAGAGAAGTTGAAGGCAAAGAAATATTGTCCTGGTTTTCGATATACAAAGCAATGCCTGCGGTAAGACTTTGTCCCGGGTGACTTGGTAGGAGAGCCAGTTTGGTGCAGGGGTTAGTGGCAGGACTCTAATCTGGAGAACCGGGTTTGATTCCCCAGTCCTCCTCCACATGAAGCCAGCTGGGTGACCTTGAGTCAGTCACAAGTTCTCTCAGGGCTGTTCTCTCAAAAACAGTCCTCGAAAGAGCTGTCTCAGTCCCACCTACCTCACAGGACGTCTGTTGTGGGTAGAGGAAGGGAAGGAGATTGTAAGCCACTCTGAGACTCTGAGTGAAGGGTGGGGTATAAATCCAAACCAGTTTGGTGTAGTGGTCAAGTGTGCAGACTCTAATCTGGGAGAACCGGGTTTGAGTCCCCACTCCTCCACTTGCAACTGCTGGATAACCTTGGGAGAGTCATAGTTCTGTCAGAACTGTTCTCTTATGAGCAGTTCCAAAAGAGCTCTCTCAGCCCCACCTACCTCAAAGGGTGTCTGTTGTGGGGAGGGGAAGGGAAAGGAGACTGTAAGCCGTTCTGTGTGTAAAACGCCACCAAGTCGCAGCTGATTTATGTTCTCTCTAAGATGAGTGAGTGTGAGCCAGCTCACCGTTTTTTAGCCTCCGGCTCACACATTTTTGTCTTAGCTCAGGAAGGATGGCTCCGGAGCAGACTAACTGATGCAGCGGCCAAATCACCTGCTCACAACTTTAATGCCAGTAGCTCACAAAATAGAATTTTTGCTCACAGGACTCCATAGCTTAGAGGGAACATTGCTTATGGCAGCTCCAAGGAAGGGGGCTTTGAAGGCAAGTGAGAAGCGGAGGTAGTTCGTTGCTGCTTTCCTCTGCAGAGTCTTCCTTGGTGGTGTCCAGGGGTCATTTCGTAGAAAAAGAGGTGCAGGAGCTCATTAGCATAACTCATTAGCATAACTTATTTGCATATGCCCCACCCCCTGACGTCACCCGAAGTGTGTCAGAAGGCAACACCCACCGCTCTCTCTGCTTTGACATTAGGTAATTCGGATGCTTACCAACCCCACTCTCTATCCAGTAATGTCATTTCCTAAATAAACCACTCTGTTTCCTTGTCTCACTGATGCTGAGGACTCATTCCGCCAAGATAAAAGAGATTACCGTGCACACAAAATTTGGTTTTTGATGTATTTGCACACTGATGCATTTCAGCATCTGCGTTTCTGCCTTTGCGCAATGCTGTTCCGTTGTAATTGTGATCTTGAGTCGGACTCATTGTCAGAAGTGTAGCTAGTTCTGTTAGGGAAACCATCTCTTCCAAGTATCCACCCTGTTTAGCGTCTGAGATCTGATGAAATCAGGCGATATCATGGTGCCTTCCCGCCACAAATCATAGAATCACAGAGTTGGAATGTGCCATAGAGGTCATCTAGTCCAACCCCCTGCTCAATGCAGGATCAGCCTAGGGCAGGGGTGGCCCAACTGTGGCTCGGGAGCCGCACGCGGCTCTTTCACGCATATCATGCGGCTCCCGGCAGGGCGGCCGGGGAAGCGAAATATCATTAGCAAACAGATCTCATTGGACAAATAAATATCATTATCAATATATGCTTTTGCTATTACTCCTGGCCGTCTCATTTAATGTTAATTAAAAAAACAATTTTGCATGTTTCCCAGTAAAAACGTGCAATATCTGTTAATGTCTTGTGGCTCTCAAACATCTGGCATTTATTCTGTGTGGCTCTTACATTAAGCAAGTTTGGCCGCCCCTGGCCTAGCGCATCCCTGACAAGCGTTTGTCCAGCCGCTGCTTAAAGAGCTCCGGAGGCAGCTGATTCCACTTATGCCCCACCCCCTGACGTCACCCGAAGTGTGTCAGAAGGCAACACCCACCGCTCTCTCTGCTTTGACATTAGGTAATTCGGATGCTTACCAACCCCACTCTCTATCCAGTAATGTCATTTCCTAAATAAACCTCTCTGTTTCCTTGTCTCACTGATGCTGAGGACTCATTCCGCCAAGATAAAAGAGATTACCGTGCACACAAAATTTGGTTTTTGATGTATTTGCACACTGATGCATTTCAGCATCTGCGTTTCTGCCTTTGCGCAATGCTGTTCCGTTGTAATTGTGATCTTGAGTCGGACTCATTGTCAGAAGTGTAGCAAGTTCTATTAGGGAAACCATCCATTAGCCGCTCGCCTTGGCTAGAAAGGGAAACACTTTCCCAGGCACAATTACAGGCATGAAAAGATCTCAGATCCTGAATCAGCAGTTCTGGCTGCCATTATTATTATTATTATTATTATTATTATTATTATTATTATTATTATTATTATTACTACTACTAATAATAATAATGATGATGATGATGATAATAATAATAATTTTATCATCATCAACAACAATAATAATAATAACAATAATAATGATAATAATAATTTGGATTTATCATCATCATGAACAACAATAATAACAATAATAATGATAATGATAATAATAATGATGATGATGATGATAATTTTGATTTATACCCGGCCCTCCCTGCAAGCAGGCTCAGGGCGGTGGCCGGGTAGGAAGGTGGCCTGACCCTTCCTCCTCATGGATCTTTTACATCTTACCTAGGGCTTTTCCGCTTTTTCATTTCCCTAACTTCCCATTTCTTCCGGGGGGGGGGATGTCTGTTCTGCATGGAGTTTGCTCCCTCTAGTGGTCAATTTGATATTACACCAGTTTATGTCTGGCATAAAAATCTGCAGTTTAAGTCTGCAGGGAGATATGCCAGACACAACTTGGTGTAATATGGAATCAGCCACTAGAGGGAGCAGAAGATGGGGCATAATACAGAACTTCTGGCTGCCAATCTTAGAATCTTAGGAACTAGTACTACTACTACTACTACTGAAGTTTTCACTTCCTTCAGTTAATGTATAAATATATATTTTTCCTTTTCTGTAATATGCATTTGTGCATTGCTAAAATATCACAAAACATCTTGATGCGTGCATACGCATGCTTGTTGCAGGATTCTTTTTGCGTGGTGTATTTTGGATTTGAACATGCACTCCTGTGCCGTGGTCGAACACCATACACAAAGAGAATCGTCATATCATTGTGTACATTGAGTTTCGTCTTATGCGTTTTTTGCCAGTGTGCATTCAGTAATGGGGACAGGGGAAAAAACGCAAAGAAGGGACGACAAAATGGGGCCAAATACTGGGGAGACTGTTCACTCTGCTCTCTCTGCTTCGTCTCAGCTTTGTGAGCAGGAGATATGACGATGATGATTGTTACCACCATTCTTTAGGATCCTACACTATCCCGGAGCACATCCAGCCTGCGCTAAAGGCATTGCACTGGCTGCCAATAGCATACCAGATTCGCTTCAAGGTGCTGCTCTTGACCTTTAAAGCCCTTTATGATCAGGGACCGGCCTACCTGAGGGACTGCCTTTCCCCGGATGTTCCCCAGAGAGCACTGCGATCAGGGTTGCAAAATCGTCTCTTCCCCCCCCCCCCCCCTCCCCCCACCCCCCCTGTCCGTTCGACTAGGACTAGGGCTTTTTCTGCAGCTGCTCCTGCTTACTGGAATGAGTTTCCGGATGAGATCAGGGCCCTGCGGGACCTTTCACAGTTCTGCAGGGCCACGAAAACGGAGCTCTCCCGCCAGGCATTTAGGTAAGGAGCTGCGTTTCATCATCTATGCCCTGTGCGGATTTTATTGCCAGCCGGAGCCCGCCAAGAGTGGATGAACCGCTGAATGTATGTCTCTATCTGCACTTCACCACAGCCACATCGCCATCATTATCTTAATGGTTTTAATACTCTAGCGTGTATTTTGTATTGATATTTATATTGTTGTTTTATCTATCGTTTTCTTACGTAAGCCGCCCTGAGCCTGCCTCGGCGGGGAGGATGGGGTAAAAATCAAATCGATAAATAAAGTACAGCATGTAGTCTGGTACTACTCACTGACTTAATCAAGACAACAGCTGAAGTTCAGTTTGATCCCAAGTCACCTTGTACAAGACAAGTGTTCTAGACTACGGCAGCATTTTCCAGCCTGTGGGTGGGTTGGTTCCAAAGCCTGTGAGAGCATGTCCCGGACTCATACTAAGAAGAGCGGGAACCACTAAGCTAGTGATAGGCAGAAGAGGGAGGGGCGATGGCAGCAGAGGACAACATGCTTAGTGACAGCAGCAACAGCAACAGCTCTTCACCCTCTCAGTTTCTCAGGGTCTCACCAGACAGGCACCACCTGGAGGCTGGTATCCCTAGCAAGGGCATATCATGTCTGGTTAGGTCCTCAGTCACTTTTCTTCTAGTGGCCAACAGCACACTGCTACCCCTGCTATCTCAACAGCAGGTGCTTATCCTCAGGGCCAGACTAACCAAAATCAAGCAGCAAAGCTTTCCCAGGATCCTTCAAATCCAGGCTGCAGGTTGAGGGCAGCTATACACTCCAGGGAGCTCCAAGAAGCACCAGCCGTCAATCTGTTTTAGTTATTCACAGAAATGAGCAGATGTATCCCATGTGGACTCCACATAACAAATAAATAGGTCCCCAGCTACCCAAGTTTTCATTGAGTCCTTGCGTTCTGCAGTGCATCTGACAGGTAAAGTAGCACAATAAGCCACCTTGGTGCTTTCAGCCTCTTTTGTAGGCTTGAGATAATCATATCCTATTGAGTTACATACTATTAGGCATCACTGACCACACATCTTTAACTATTTAGCATCTATCAACTAATCTCAGCAAATTTCATTTTGTTGTCATATATCCAGTACTCCTTATCACAGCTAGGAAGGAAGGAAGGAAGGAAGGAAGGAAGGAAGGAAGGAAGGAAGGAAGGAAGGAAGGAAGGAACCTCTGCACTCTTTTCTAAAACATTCTAAGGAAGGAGATATCTGTTCACCTTTTTAACTGGGAATTGTCGGATCATGGTGTCTTTTATGCACTTTCTGGGCATTCCCGTTGAGATAATGTTGCTGAAGCGCTGGACCTCATGAATCACGGCGTTTGTATAAGGCAAGTTCTTGCGGTCCTCGTAGCAGATTGTTTGGCAGGGAGTCAAAACAGCATCGATCTCCTTCTGGACTTTGGCTGAGGAAAAACAAACACACAAAGGGATTCTCCATACGTAGAGTTACACGGATGAACTTTGGCACCAGAAGAGAAGAAGAAGAGTAGTTTTTTATACCCCACTTTTCTCTACCCAAAGGAGTCTCAAAGCGGCTGACAATCAGCGTTCCCTCTGAGCTGAGTTAGTGTCAGTTAGCTCACAGTTTTTTAGCCTCCGGCTCACACATTTTTATCTCAGCTCAGGAAGGAGGGCTCCAGAGCAAACTAAGTTATGCAGTGGCCAAATCGCTCGCTCACAACTTTAAAGCCAGTAGCTCGCAAAGTAGAATTTTTGCTCACAAGACTCCACAGCTTAGAGGGAGCGTTCCACACTCACTCAGCTTAGAGGGAACACTGCTCACAAGGCGCCAGATGCTGGCTGGACAAATCCTCACCTGCCCCACCCACTTTCTCAAAACACTTGGCAGGAACATGGAAAGGCATCAGAGGATACCACGACACCTATGGCCACATTGTTAGGGACCCCTGCCCTAGAGAACAAACAGTAGTCAGAACTGATGATATTGAGCTAAACAGACCTCATGTGGGGAGGAGCGGGGAGTCAAGCTCGGTTCTTCAGATTACAGTCCCCCTCTCTTAACCACTGCGCCAAGCTGGCTCTAAGGTTGTAGTGGCTAAAAATGGCCTTTCCTTCCTCTCCCCACAACAGGCGCCTTGTGAGGTAGGTGGGGCTGGGAGAATTCAGAGAGAACTGTGAGCAGCCCCAGATTACCCAAGCAGGCCTCATGTGGGGAGGAGCGGGGAATCCAACCCGGCTATCCCGAATCCAGATTAGAGTCCGCCGCTCTTAACCACTATACCAGTGGTGGCGAACCTATGGCACGGGTGCCAGAGGTGGCACTCAGAGCCCTCTCTGTGGGCACGCGGGCCATCGCCCCAGCCAGGCCCAGACCATCATTAAAGTGTCGAATTCTCTGCCAAATAATTTTAAGTAAATGAAAGCATTTGGGATGGCTTTCCTTACTTTGTTTGGATCATCTTAACTTCTTAAGTCAATGTGTGAGTTGTTTTTTCTAAAGTAAAACCTCAGTATTCAGGTTCAATTGCCGCGTTGGCACTTTGCGATCAATAAGTGGGTGTTGGGTCGCAGTTTGGGCACTCGGTCTCTAAACGGTTCGCCATCACTGTTATACATAGACAAAAACCTAAAGTACATTGTATCTACCAATAGGAAAGTCCACAGCTTAAAAAAACCTCTTCCAGCACTGTAGGCTATCTTCCTCCTGATAAAGGACTGGTGAAAGTTGCAACAGTCATAAATGATTAAAGATGCAGCAGGCTGTTGTATTCTCCACAAAGAGTAATTCAGCCGGCATGAGAATTGCAGCAGGCAGTTGTGTTTCCCACACAAAGTGTTTCAGCAAGCATCAGAACAAGCAACACGCCTCCTAGGCAAAAATGGGGTGTTTCGACAAATTCTTCTTCAGGCAGACGTAATTTCCCCTGGAACCAAAGCTCTCGCTTTTACTGTGCATAAGTCAACCATTCTAAGGAGGCTTCTCTGGTTCTCCTAGAGATGAAAAGGTAAAGGTCTCCCTTGCTCGAAAGCCAGTCGAGCTCGACTCTAGGGTTGCGGTGCTCATCTCCGTTTCCAAGCCGAAGAGCCAGCGCTGTCCGAGGACGTTTCCGTGGTCATGTGGCCGGCATGACTAAACACCAAGGCGCACGGAACGCTGTCACTATCCTA